ATTCCCAGTAGTCACATTTCTATCTTGTGCCTAGTGTTACATTTGATATCAGAACAACCTTCAAGGACAGAGAATGAGTCTATCTAACAAATGCAGAAATGCACCTATAAACCAGTAGTTCTCAACCTGTGGGTAGAGACTGCTTTGGAGGTGGCATATTAAATATCCTACATATGATATTTCCATTATGACTCATAACAGTAACAAAATTACAGTTATAAGGTAGCAACAAAATAATGTTATGGTTGGGTATCACCATAACATGAGGAAGTATATTAAAGAACCACTGCTCTAAAGAAAATATTTGCTGGGCATGAGGACATACATGTACGATCCCAGCACTCAGGAGGCAGAGCTGTGAACTCTCTGAGTTCGAGGCCAGCCTGGTCTACAAAGTGAGTTCCAGAACAGCCAGGGCTACACAGAGAAACCCTGTCTCGAAAATCCCCCTCCACACATACAAAGGTAATAGATAGCAACTGACAATATGGATGAGCAAAAATGGTTCAGTCCAGATGCAAGCCACAGCCCTGTGGCTGAGAGAATCTATTTAACCTCAGGAAACTTCAAGCTACAAGCCAAGGTCCAGGACATAATCAAGAACACCACGCCCCAAGGCTTTGAAAGAAACGAAAACAGAACATGAACACACAAAATGCCTTGATTCCAGAAAGTGGCAGTCACTGTAACCACTGTTACAGTCACTTAAAAATATTCAAACTCAGGGCTGGAGAGATGGCTCAGAGGTTAAGAGCACTGGCTACTCTTCCAGCGGTCCTATGTTCAATTCCCAGCACCCACATGTTGGCTCACAACCATCTATGAGATCTGGTGGCCTCTTCTGGCCTGCAGGGGTACATGCAGAAGGAATGATGTACACATAATAATCCTCTCAATGCTGCATTGACGATCATTCTGATGTTCATTCAGCATCTGTATTTCCTAGGATTTCATCATCTGTTGCACACCAAGGGCACAATAAAACAATTTCCAGCTTACAAATTCATAACTCAAACAGTAGAGGCGGGGGTGGGGGGGCACTTTAAGTTCAAGGCCACTCAGACTAGATAGCTAGGGTCTTTCTCAAGAAAACAAAAAATATGGTCTGGGGTTATAGCTCCTTGGTAGCATTCTGCCTGGCATGTGTGAGCACTGGGTTCAAACCCACATACTGCAAAAATAAATAAGTAAAAATCCTGGGGGATGGGAGGTTGGCAGGAGAAAACGAGAAAGATGGCTCAGGTTTAATAACACTGCTCTCCTTACCCAGGATCCCTAGCATCCATGTGGTAGCTCACAAGTGTTATAGAATATTCCTTTATACAGTGTGTAGATTTGTCAGTGTGATTGGCTTAAAAACAAGCTATATTGCAATCGCTAGGCAGGAGGTATAGGCAGGACTTGTGGACAGAGAGGATTCTGGGAAGAAGAAAGTCAGAGTCTACAGACTTGGCTGAAGCAGGATGGGCAAAACAGACACAAGGTAACGAGCCCGTGGAAGAATTTGATAAAATATGAGTTAATTTAAGTTATAAGAGCTAGGAACAAGCCTTAGCTAAGGCTGAGCTCTCATAATTAATAAGAAGTCTCTGTGTGGTTATTTGGGAGCTGGCAGTCAAGATGGAGAGACTCACAACACATACCCATCTAACTCCAAGGGATCCAATGCTCTCTTCTGGCCTCTGCAGGCATCAAGCATGCACATGGTATACAGACATACATGCAGGCAAAACTATCTACACCAGTAAAATAAGATAATTTTTAATGATGGCTCAGTAGGTAAAGATGCTTACTGTTAATCCTGAAGACCTGAGTTAGATCCCTGGGGTGCACAGGAGAGAACCAGCCCCCACAGGTTGTCATCTGATCTCCATGCCTGTGCTGTGGCACATACAAACCCATCCACATACATGCACAAAATAAATACAAAATTTAATAAGACCATGAAATAGAAACTATTATCTTCCCACTTTTTAAATGATGAAACTGAGGTGTAGAGAGATTAAATGACTTGACTTCCCATTCCTACTCCCAGTCTCCAAACAACTACTAACCCATAATCTGTTTCTACACATCTGCTCTTTCTGGAGACTTCAATGGAATCAGGTGGAAGATGACTCACCAGTTAAAGCTCATACTGCTCTTGCAGAGGACCTGCATTTCATCCAGAGAATCCTTATCAAGCTGCTCACTACTGGAACTCCAGCTTCTGGCTTCAATGGGCACCTGTACTTATGTATACATATCTGCACACAGACACACACACACAAATAGATAATTAAAAACTAAAATAAAATATTTGTATGTTTTGTTTGAAATTACATGTTTTGGTTTTCTTTCTTTTTTTTTTTTTAATGATTTATTTTTTTATTAGGTATACAACATGTGTGCCTGCACACCAGAAGAGGGCACCGGATCCCATTATAGATGGCTGGGAGCCACCATATGGTTGCTGGGAATTGAACTCAGGACCTCTGGAAGAGCAGTCAATGCTCTTAACCTCTGAACCATCTCTCCAGCCCCATGTTTTGGTTTTCTGACGCAGGGTCTCACTGTGTAGCCCTGGCTGGCCTGGATCCCACCATGTAGACCATGTTGACCTAGAATGAATGGAGCAGCCTGTCTCTGTCCCCCTAAGGGCTTGAGCCACCATGACCAGTTTGAAATAAACTATTTTAAAATAATAACATGGCTACAGAGGTAGCTCAGTAGTTAAGAGCTCTGGCTGCTCTTGCAGAGGACCCAGGTTCAGTTCCTAGTACTTTCGTGGAAGCTTATACTCATCTGCTACTCCAGCTGCAGGGGATTCAATCCCGACTTCTGACTGCCAACACTAGGCACTTGAACAAAATCAAATAGCTGAGTGTGGTAGCAAATGGGAGGCAGAGGCTGGTGGATCTATGTGAGTTTGAGACCAGTCTGGTCTACATAGAGAGTCCCAGACCCAGCAGTGGTGACATAGTAAGACTCTGCCAATAAACAAATAAATATAAATAAATAAATCAGTACCAGGCAGTGATGGCGCAGAACCTTTAATCCCAGCGCTGGGAGGCAGAGGCAGGTGGATCTCTGTGAGTTCCAGGCCAGCCTGGTCTACAGAGTGGGTTCCAGGACAGTCTTCAAAACTACACAGAAACTGTCTCGAAAAACAAACGAGTATTGCTATGCGTTTAAGGCCAGCCTGGGCTAAATAGTGAGAACCTGTTTAGAAAACAAAACAGCTTTCTCTTTGGCAGCCAGGACACTGCGCATCCTCAAGGCCTCATCGCTGCTGAGTCCAGTGGGATCCACATGCTCCCCACAGAATTCCACAGCCAACCACAGCCCTGGATTTTCCCACAACTTTTCCTGCTGGCAAGGCCCAGCATTTGAGGGTGACAATGGAGTCTGCGTTTGAGAGCAATGCTGTAGGGACTTTGGTGACACACTTTGGAGGCAGGTGATCTTGCTGTAGTGACACACACCCCTGTGGTGGTCTGAATAATGTTCCCCAGAGGCTCATATATTCAAATGCTTGGTCACAGGGAGTGGCACTGTTTACAGGGATTAAGAGGTATATGGCCTCTCTGAAGGAAGTGGGTTGCTGGAAATAAGCTTTGAGGCTTTAAAAGCTCAATTTCTCTCTCTCCCTCCCTCCCTCCTTCTCTTTCTGCCAGTAGACCACGACATAGCTCTCAGCTCCAGTACCATGCAAGACTATGGGTGTAGGACTGGAGAGATGGCTCAGCGGTTAAGAGCACTGGCTAGTCTTCCAGAGGTTCTAAGTTCAATTCCCAGCAACCACATGGTGGCTACAAACATCTATAACATGATCTGGTGCTCTCTTCTGGAGTGCAGGCAGACATGCAGGCAGAACACTGTATACATAATAAAGATAGATATTAGAAAAGAGAGAGACTATGGTTGTAATTCAGTCACAGAGCACTTGCCTAGCAAATGTAAAGCTATAGATTCAATATTCTCTCTCTCTCTCTCTCTAGTTTTTAGTTTTACTAGTGGCATAATTCACATGTAAAAACAATGTTCTCATTTTAAGAGAACACTTAGTGTCCCTCTGAGGTGACCTCTACTAAGAAGCTAGGTGGCACCAGTGGCCATTTGCAAGATGTTGGGGTAACAACTCCCTCCTCTTAGCCAGGAGGCAGTTCAGACCTTTAATACAGCACTCAGGAGGCAGAGGCAGGTGAATCTCTGTGAGCTTGAGACCAGCCAGGTCTACATAGTTCCAGGTCAGCCAGAGCTACACAGAGAGACCTTCTTTCAAAGGTCTGGCCACACGCACGCACGCACGCACGCACACACACACACACACACACACACACACACACACCACTGGTCCCAAACACACACACACACACACACACACACCACTGGTCCCAAACACACACACACACACACACACACACCACTGGTCCCAAACACACACACACACACACACACACACACCACTGGTTCCAAACACACACACACACACACACACACACACACACACACACACACACACCACTGGTCCCAAACACACACACACACACACACACACACACACACACACTGGTCCCAAGAACTCCCTCCTCTTGTGCCCACTGTCTTCAAAGGAGTTACTAGTTACTCACCAGGGCCTTTCCAGCCTGGCAGCAGGACACTTCCCTACTCTTCTCATCAAGGTCATACTCACCTGTGCCCTAGACAGGGTCCCATGTGACCAAGGCCCTGGTGGCATGCTATTGATGGCTAGGACTCCAGCATATGGGCAAAGCTGCAGAAACAGAAGGAGGAGGGACACCTGGCCGTGGTCTCCAGGAATGCAGGCCAGCGAGTGCAGCTTTGGATTCCACCTCCATCACCCACAGTGGCTCTAGGCCTCCAATGGCTCTGGGCCTCCAAAGTCCTTACCTCTTCTCCAAGCCCATTTTCTCACTGACTTCAAGGAAGTCCCTTTGTAAGGTGGAAATGAAACATAAAAGAGACAACCCCAGGAAGCTGGTGTGAGAACCTTTTTTTATTCCAGCCTTCTTTGTCCAAGGATGGCTGCCATTCAGAACAACTTCCTGACTGCTTCACTCTACCACAGTGGCTCTTAAAGGCACAGCCACCGAAAAAGGGCAGGCGAGGCTGAAGTTACATGGGATGCTCCGAAGGATCCTTCAGCTGGGGTTCACCATACAGTTGCTCTCAGCAGAAGCCACATGCAGATTCCTCACTGTGTTTACTGAGCAGAGCGCTGGGGAACCACACCCTCACAGCTCAGGTCCATCCCTGGTCACAGCCTGATGCGTGGGCCAGAGGTCTGAAGGACCATTCCTACCCAGTTGCTTTATCTTCTACATAAAAAACCATCCAAAGTCACAAAGTTGTCTCCAAACCAGGTCACAAGACAGCAGGAGACATTCCCTTGGCAAAAAAGGACACATTCTTGTCCTGTATCTTGTATTGGTAAGTGAGGCTTCGATCCCTCCGGGCTGTGGGCTGCGACCTCCTCCAGAGGATCCTCAGCTGCAGGGAGGGAGGAGAATGAAGGGCAGGGCAGCTACCAAGCACCGGCTCCACTGGGAATCCACTGCCTCCCGGGCTTCCATGACAGCTCAGACAAATGTGTCATAGGGTAATGGGACCGACTTCTACAATAAACACTGCCAACCTTTACAGAACACCACCTCGACCACAAATGAGACTATCAGGAAAAGTGCTTCCTGCAGGAGTCTATGCACCACCTGGCGCAGGGCACCGAACCCCCAAAACCCCCAAGGTTTCCCTTCCACCCAGAGCATCCAACGGCTGGCTCAGCCTGTGTACCTGTCCATGCACATCCTTGCAGAATCCAGTGGCCAGGCCCTCAGCTCGCAGGACCAGGTGGCTTTGATGACTAAGGCCATTCAGCAGGATGTCATTCTCCTTATCCTCGGCATCTTTGTGGTCATGTACAAGGGCTACCACATTTCCCTGCATCAGACACAAGAGGGAAACCTGCTCCTTACCAAATGGGTCCCAGGGTTGCAGTGTCTCCATACCTAGTGTCCGCACATCCTCTCTCAGATCCTCCCACCCCTACTGCTGCTACAAAAGCTTCTTCCTAAGAAAGACCCCAAGGGGCTCCAGGACCCTAATTCTACTGGACCCTTTCACCAGCAAGTCCAACCACACTTCCAACTCAACTCATCTAAAAGTAAACCCACTCCAGGTGCCCAGTCTCTATCCCGGAGTATCATGCCACCAGGGGCTAGCAATATGGCTTGGCAGGTAAAGGCACTTGCCATCGATCCTGATGATCTGAGTTCAATCCGACCCCAAATGGTGGAAAGAGAAGGGACTCCTGAAAACTGTCTGTGGCACATTCATGCCCCCACTACCAAATTAAATTGTTTGTTTGCTTCCCCACCCCCCACCCCCACCACAGGGGAGGGGAGTTATGAGACAGTATTTCTCTTCATAGCTCTGGATGTCCTGGAACTTGTCCTGGGCTGGCCTGGAATTTAAGAGATCTACCTGCTTCTGCCTCCTGAGTGCTGGGATTAAAGGCATGCACCACCACCATCCAGCCAAATTAAGTATTTTTAAAAATTTCACTTAATTGCCAGCATTCTGTTTGTTTGTTTGTTTGTTTGTTTGTTTTTCGAGGCAGGGTTTCTCTGTATTGCTTTGGAGTCTGTCCTGAAACTCTCTCTGTAGACCAGGCTCACAGAGATCCACCTGCCTCTGCCTCCTCAGTGCTGGGATTAAAGGTGTGTGCCACCAATACCTGGCAATTGACAGCATTCTGCCAAGTACCATTCAGTCCACAGTTCCTAAGAACTCGATGTATACCAGATAATACAGGATGGAAAAGAGAACTGAGCTCCAAAGATAATCTAGGGTGACAATCTAGGGTGACAAAACCAGCAAGAAAGAGGCATGGGGTAAGGAGATCTCAAAGGGGCCATAAGGGAGGACACATGTGACCTGATGGCTAAGTGACAGTTTTGAGCTATACAGTTCAGTGGTAGAGTCCTTGCCCACGATGCTTGAGGCCCTAGATTTGACTTGGCACCATGTGGGGGGAAGTGTCAGGGTAGGAGTGGAGGTGCAGCTTAATTTAGCACATATTCAGCTGTACAAGGTCCTGCGTTAACCCGGTGATGGAGGCGCACACCTTTAATCCCAGCACTCGGGAGGCAGAGGCAGGTGGATCTCTGTGAATTCAAGGCCAGCCTGGTCTACAGAGCTAGTGCCAGAACAGTCAATACTACATAAAGAAACTGAAACAACAATAAAAAAACAAGTGTGTAACTACCATTGAGGAAGACCCAAATTCAATTCCCAGCACCCATGTCAGGCAGCTCACAACTGCATGTCACTCCAGCTTCAGATGATCTAATGCTCGCTTCCAGCCTCTGAGGTCACCTGCACATGCACATGCTTACACAGACACACACATAAATAAAAAAATAAAGAGGCAGGTGTGAGGTTGGTGTGGTGTATACATCTGTGTTTTCAGGACTTGGGGGGTAGAGGGAAGACTATTGGAAGTTCAAGGTTACCCTTGCCTACACATAGCAAGTTCAGTCAACTTGTCTGAATGACATGGGATCCTGCCTCAAAAAAAGCCAGGCACGGGAGTGCACATTTAACCATGACACTACAGAGCATTAGGAACGTAGAGATAGGAATCCCTGAAGCTTGCAGGCCAGCTATTCTGGCCAAATAGCAAAGGGCAAGCCCCTTGCCCCTTCTTCCTTCCATGCTGTCTCTCAACTCCTTCCCTCTCTCTTTCTCCCCCTCCCTCCTTCCTAGCCACTTCCCTTTCTGCATTACCCTAGACCCTGGTCCTGTGACTGTACCCAAGAGTCTCAGCAGTCCCTTGAACACAGCTTCAGGCAGGACTGTGCAATGCTCACACGGTTAGTGACACCCCACTAACCCTTTCTCTACCACTAATTCTCTAATCCACTCCTCTGCACTGAGTCTCGCCTCTCTACACAATACGCATAAGTTCCTATAGGCCGTGTCATCACCCCTGACCAGTGGCCACTGTGGGCCAGGCACTGCACTACATAGCAACTCACTTCATTCGATTTCTTTTCTGTTCGTTTTATTTCGTTCATTCTTTGACACAAGGTCTTACTACACAGTCCTGGCTGGCCCAAGCTGGCCTCAAACTTGAAGTTTGAGGATTATAAACATATGCTACCATGTTCAGCCTGTCATTCCATTGTTTTGTTTTCTTAACATTCTTTTTTTAGCGTGTGTGTACATGTGTGTATGTGTGTGTACTGACACACGCAGTGCACATGTGGAGGTCAGAGGACAGTTTTGTGAGATGTGTTCTCTCTTTTCACCTTTTGTTGTTTTCTTGAGACAGGGTTCCTCTGTGTAACAGTCCTGACTGTCCTGGAACCCACTTTGTAGACCAGGCTGCCCTCGAACTCACTGAGACCCACCTGCCTCTGCCTCCCGAGTGTAGGCATTAAAGACGTGTGCCGCCCAGGCCTTTCACCTTTATGTGGGTTCTGGAGCTCAAATTCGAGTCATTAGGCTTTTGCCTGGCCTAAAACCCACGACCTCCCAAGTGCTGGGATTACAGACGTGTGAGCATGTATACAGCTGCGTTTTACCTTGTTGAATTCCATGCATCACAGGGGAGCTGGGACTCACTGTGTGGCTGAAGATGAGGTGAACTTCTGAAGCTCCTGACTCTGCCTCCTAAGTGCTGAGGTTGCAGGCATACGGCACCACACCCAGTCTATACAGTGCTGCTGAACTACACAAGCGTGTCACCAACTGAGTGACATCCCCAGCCCTACTTTGCCATTTTTAAAGTGATTTAGTGAAAGGTTCTAGGCTCAACCCCAACTCCCCACGAGGAGAGAAAAACCTAAAGGAGTTTATGGTCATTACTGATCTTCACAACTCAGTAAGGAAGGACCCACAGGCCACACAGGCAAGGACTACAGCACTGTCCCACAGTGCTCTTCAAACTTTAACTTTGAGGGGTTTATTAATTAGCAATGCCAAGCAGAGTAAAGCAGCATGGGTGGAATGAAGAATTTCTGGGTCTGCCAGAGGAGAGCTAAACTACAAGCGAACAGCACCCATGTTTGGGTTCTCAGACAGCCCAGCAGAACCCTGACAACAGCCCCTCGATACCTTCAATTCGCAGCAAACCGTGGCCCTGCAGTACTGTACAAAGTCCAGCACAGCAACTGCGCCCAGGCCCAGGCTCAGCAGCACACTGAGGTTGTCCACCAACAGCACTGGGTACTTCCACGGAGTCTCCCCACCGTCCACGGGCTTCAGGGAGTCCTGTACAAACTGATACAGCGGCTGCAGGTTCCCTGCACTCGCCTCCCTAGAGACACAATGTTATATTTTATTATGACACTGCCTCGTGAACCCCAGCCTGGCCTTGAACTCACTATGGAGCCAACTCAAGCGTGACCTTGATTCCCTGACCTTCCCCATCCTGGATGCTTCCTCCCACACGAGTCACACACAGGGCTTCGTGCACACTAAGCAAACACTGTCAACTCTGCTCAGCCCCGGCTCTTCTCTTCAGAGTAACTGACCTGAAATGCACTCTCCTATTGTCTCTACCTCCCAAATGCTAGGATTACGGGCATGTGCCACCATGCCCAGCTCTACAAGTGTCTCTCTGGGACAAAGGGTTACCAAGGAAGACTGGAGGAGGCAAAGACCCGGAAAAGCAAACACACACACACACACACACACACACACACACACACAATTTTACTTTATTCCAATTCAGGTATTTTCTGAGGCCTACTGGGTACAAAGGTAAAACTTAGGAGCTACAAAAGAATGAGTAAGCTTTGGGGCCCTGAACAGACAGCATAGAACCCTGGCGTGGTGATCCATGCCTATAGTCCCAACGACTATAGAAGCAAGACAACAGCAAGCTGGAGGCCAGCCTGGGGAAGGCATGAGATTATCTCAAAAGAAGGATATAAAGTAAAAGAGAACCATACAGCCTCTCCATCCAAGAGCTATGGCAAGAGTAGGTCAGGTTGGGTAAGTCAAAGAGACTTCCCAGGAGATCCTGAGTCACTAGAGGAAGCTAACAGCAGTTCAGATGTCCTGGAGAAGGGTGGCAGACTAGGGCCGCTGGTTTATATGTTTCTGACACATAGGGAGCAACCCACCTCCACCTTCCCCAGGGATGTTGCAAGCAGTCATTTCCCAGCAGTGGGAGGAGGAATGAAGCATAATGCCCAGGGCAACCACCCTCCCTGCTGCCACTGGGCTATCCTCGCTCATAAGGAGAACAGGTCCCCACACTGGGATCAGGCATAACCAGCCCCTCCCTGCTGTCAGAGGATAAAATCAAGGTCAGGGTGCCGGTAAGACCTCTCTCCCTCCCCCCCCCCTCTCTCTCACTCACACACACACACACACACACACACACACACACACACACTAGCCACTGCACATGGGAAGGGTATATCTGAAAGAGTAGGGCAGTGGGGGAGAGATCTTTCATGACTCCTTTGTGAAAGAGAAAGAACATTAGCCAAATCAGGGCTGATGCTCAGAAAGGTTGAAAAGTGCCAGCACAGCCAGTCCAGACCCGTGATGATGAAAACCAAATGAGATGGCCCCAGTTTCCTGTTGCTGGTGTTAAAGAGTCACATCAGAGATATTTAGGCTTGCTGCTCATTTTTCCTGCCTCAACTGTCCAATCTGTTGCTATAAAGCCAAAATAGCCATGGACAATAAGCCAACATATAAATACGGCTATGTTCCAATAAAACTATATCTACAAAAACAAGTCACTGGCCCATAACCCTTAGTTTCTACATGAAGGCAAGGAGAAGCAAAGGTGTTGCCCCAGGGGTCCCCGCGGGAGAAACAGCACAGCATTTCACTGTGCCACACTCCACACTCGCTGCGAATGATGCTTGCTATAGTTCTGGGGACCACTACCTACCATCAGCTTCATGATAAAGGCCAAGGGCCATCTGACTCATAACACAGGGGAAGGGTGTGGTCCTTGAAGCCACTTCTGCCTTCCCACACAAGCAGAAGGAACCACACACAGCTGGCCTCGTCTGCCCCCCCCCCCACACCAGCTTTGCAGTCTGACCTGAGGAACCGCAGGGGGTGAGGCTCCTCCTGAGTGTGGAAGAAGAAATCCGCTGCGGACTTGAGACCCTCCAGGAACACAAGCTGCCCTCGTTCCCGCGCTGCTGTCAGGCTGACCCCCTAAATGTGACAAAAAGCAGAGTGAAGTGCCCTGTGGGAACTTTAGGAGAAACTACATACCAGCTAATAAGAGGGCACAAGACAACGTCTGTTCCTGTTCTGCTTTTAGATGTGTAAACAAGCAGACCTTGACTTAAGATGTTGTAGAGGGTGACCTTGCTTTTTTTGTTCTGAGACAGGTTTCTCTGTGTGGTCCTGGAACTCTCTCTACACACCAGACACCTTTGTTGTTGATCGTTTGTTTGGAGACAGGGTCTCACAATGCAGCCCTGGCTGTCCTGGAACTCACTATGTAGACTAGACTGGCCTTGCATTTACAGATACTTCTGCCTCTGCCTCCCACATACTGGGATTAGAATCATATGCTAGCATACTCAGCTAGGCAAGAAAACCTTAACTGGCCACAACCAGTAGAAAGATTTGATTCACTGTCATCCACAAGCACTAGGTCTGGTTCTATGTATTTTCAGTAAAACAGATTCTGCTTTAATCCTTTAAAAAAGAGGTTCTGGATCCCGAGATTTCCTTAGTCCCTCCTCTGCTAGACTCTCCACAATTTAAAGAGAAAAGCGCAGCCTCTCAGCCTGTGCACGACACATGCTCTTGCAAAGGAATGTCACCACACAGGGCTGAGATACTTACCAGCTTCTGGGCCACAATATTGTAGTGGCTGAAGGACTGGACGAGGGCCACAAAGCAGACTTTACAATTAGCTAGAAAACAAAACAAAGCAAACTGACTCTTTAAACAAATCCTCTGCTTACAGCAAGACATGAATAATTCATTTATCTGGAAACAGAAGACGTGAGGTAGATCTAGACGGCACCCAGAGGCCTTGGGCCCTAATAAGATTGTGCTTAATTTCAGTCTAAGATGCATCTCCTTCTTGTTTTAGTTAGGGTTTCTGTTGCAGTAAAGAGACACTTTGATGATGGCAACTCTTGTAAAGGAAAATATTTAATTGGGGCTTGGTGGAGATGTTCTTTTGAATTCTGTGAATATATGTTTCTCTTATTGGTTGATGACTAAAGCTGTTTTGGCCAATGGACAGGCAGGATGTTGCAGGCAGCAAGTGTAGGCAGGGCCACCAGACTAGGAGAAGCTGGGAGGAGGAGTGAGTTGTTAGGGAGGCGCCACGTAACAGCCAAGGAGTGGGCCAGGGCATCACCGGTAAGCCAAGACCATGTGGAGATACACAGGCTAATAGAAATGGGTTGATAATTAAGAGAGAGCTAGCCAATAAGGAGCCTGAGCCATAGACCAAACAGTTTATAATTAATATATGCCTCTGTTTACTCGAGACCAAAAGGCTATGGGACCAGGCAGGACAGAAAAATTCATCTACAGGGGCTGGATCACAATTTCAGTAGTTTAGCCCATTATTGTGGCAGGAAGCAACTCAACATGTAGACAGACATCTTGATCCCCAGGCAACATAAAGTAAACTGTGTCCCACAATGGGCATGGCTTAAGCATGTATCAGACCTCAAAGCCTGTCCCCATGGTGACTCACTTCCTCCAACAAGGTCACACTTCCTGCTAGTGCCATTCCCTACAGGCCAAGCATTCGAGCACATGAGATGGGGCTCATGTAGCACACGCTGGTCTTGTCTTAAACTCTCTATATAACCCAGGATGACCTTGAACTCTTTTTTTTTTCTTTTAATTTTTCTTTTTTTTAAAGAAAAAACTAATTTAATTTTATTTTATTTTATGTGCATTAGTGTGAGGATGCCAGATCCCCTGGAACTGGAGTCACAGACAGCTGTGGGTACTGGAAATTGAACCCGGGTTCTATACAAGAGCAGCCAGTACTCTTAACCACTGAGCCATCTCTCCAGGCCCTTCTTTTAATTTTCCAAGATAGGGTCTCACTATGTAGCTCTGGTTGCCCTGGAACTAGCTCGGTAGACCAGGCCGTTCCCAAACTTAAAGAGATCCACCTGTCTCAGCCTCCCAAGTGCTGGGATTAAAGGTGTGTGTCACTATCACTGGTTCTATTTATTTTTAATGTTATGTACATAGATGTTTGACCTGAATGTATGTTTGTGCACCAAATGCATGTCTGGTGCCCTTATATACCAGAAGAGGGCGTCAGATCCCCTGGAACTGAAGTTATATACTTGTAAGTCACTATGTGGGTGCTAGGAATCAAACCTGAGTCCTCTAGAAAACCAGCCAGTACTTTTAACTACTAAGCCCTTTCTTCAGCCCCTGACCTTGAACTCTTGATCCTCCAGCCTCTAACTCCTGAGTGCTAAGATTACTAGCATGAGCTACCTCACTTGGTTTAGATGGTGCTGGGAATTCACATATATGAAGCAAACACTCTATCTACAAACTGAGCTACAACCCCAAGTCCCGAAGATGCATACAAAAGTTATTATTGTGCCAGGCAGTGGTGGCACATGTCTTTAGCTCCAGCACTTCAGAGGCAGAAACAGGCAGATCTCAGTGAGTTCGAAGCCAGCCTGATCTACAAAATAAGTTCCAGGACAGCCAAGACTTTTACAAAGAGAAACCCTGTCTCAAAAAACAAAAAAACAAAACAAGAGGCTGCAGAGGTGGCTTAGAGGTTAAGAGCACTGGCTGCTCTTCCAGAGGTCCTGAGTTCAATTCCCAGAAACTACATAGTGACTCACAAACATCTGTAGTGAGATCTAATGCCCTCTTCTGGCCTGAGGGCAGACATACGGACAGAATACTGCATACATGATAAATAAATCTTTAAAAAAAATGTATTATTGTATGTATGCATGATATATATGTATAGAAGTCTGAGGACAAGCCAGACGGTGGTGGTGCATGCTTTTAATCCCAGACCTTGGGAGGCAGAGACAGGTGGATCTCTGTGAGTTCAAGACCAGTCTGGTCTACAGAGAAAGTTCCAGGACAGCCAGGGCTGTGATACAGAGAAACCCTGTCTAGAAAAAACAAAAACAAAACAAAAATGAAGAGGTCAGAGGACAACCCTGTGGAGTCAGTTCTCTCCTTCACACAGGTTCCAAACACTTGTGCCACACTTGTGTGACAAGTACTTTTCCCTTCTGAACTATCTTACCAAGCCAAAATGTACTGAAGGGACCAGACCCTCACCCAGCCCTTACTTTAGCACCCATGACACTGCAGAAAAGACCCAGCAAGATGTAGGCCACTGACTCAGTGCATGTTGCTGAGTTTCCGGCCTTCTAACCTTGCAGGAGCTGCCCTAGTCACTAGGAAGTCAGATACCCTCCATGTGACCAGGAACCAATCAGAAGATAGCTGGCGGGCTCTGGATGTGCTTTACGGTAAAAGTGGCATAGTGCAGAACATAGCAACTGCCCTGGGAAGGCCTACAAGCCATAACAACCAATTAACCAATCAACACAGAACAGATCACCCAAGCCCAGAAGTGAACCAATTCTGAAACTGTTGTGTACCCCTAGACACTCCCCTTATATACCCCAATAAATTCCCCTCCTCAGTCTGGGTGCTTCTCACACCAACTGCCATGATGAATGGACAAAGGGCCCAAGTTAAGACAGTCAACTTGTTAAATAGAAGACTCTTTGCTCTTGCACTGGAATGGGTATCTTGGTGATTTTGGAGTTCAGAATTTGGGCACAACAGTACTTTTTTCCTTTTGTTTTCTAGGACTGGGGATTAAACCCAGTTCTATCATTAAATTACATCTCCACACTGGTTATTATATTTGTCTGTCTATCTATGATCTACCTATCTATGGGGTACATGTACTGGCTGGGAATATAGAAGGCAGAGGACAACATGTAGGAATTAGTTCTATCCTCCCGCCATGTGGGTCCTGGGGATTGAACTCAGGAGGTCATCAGGCAGTGATTTTTACCAAATGAGCTACTGCTCTGGTCCCTAAATAGTGTGTGTGTGTGTGTGTGTGTGTGTGTGTGTGTGTGTGTGTGTGTGTGTGTAGGCCAAAGACCAGCATCAGGTGACCTGCTCAATTGCTCTCCATCTTATTTTTGGAGACAGGGTCTCTCCCTGGATCTGGAGCTCACTGACTTGGCTAGGCTGGCTGGCCAATGAGCTTCCAGGGATCTACCCAACTCTTCCCCTCACACCCCAGGACAGTAGTTACAGATCTGCACCATGTTCTGCTTTTATGGAAGTCTGGAGATCTGAACTCAGGTTCTCATGCTTGCATGGCATTTTAAAAGACTACCTCCACAACTCCTAGGTACTCAATTTTATTCTGTTGTAAATTGTGTCTCTTTTCCAATTTTGTTCTGTGTTTACTGTTGATATACAGGAAGACAATTGATTAACAGTCTTATATGAGTTAAACTCCAAGAAACTCCAGCTACTTAACTGAGCCTTATTCATTCTAATAATTTACTCATAAATTATTTTGCTTTTCTATGATGTAGAATAGAAAAATCACATCATCTGGGGGGGGGGGGAAACTACTCCAAAGCTGTGAATTAGTTAGTACAAGCAGGCATTATCATAGCTGGCAAATATACTCAAGGAGAATCCAATAATGAATAATTCTTGTGCTGGGGATGTAGCTAAATTAACAAAGTGTTTACCTAGCATTCATGAAGCACTGAGTTGGATCCCCAGCACTAAATACAAACTGGCACGGGCCGGGCGGTGGTGGTGCACACCTGTAGTCTCAGCACTCAGGAGCCAGAGGCAGGCGGTTCTCTGTGGTTTCGAGACCAGCCTGGTCTACAAGAGCTAGTTCAAGGACAGGCTTCAAAGCCACAGAGAAACCCTGTCTCGAAAAACAAAAATCAGGCATGATGGCACACATCCGTAATTCTAGGACTTTCGAGGTGGAGAAAGGAGGATCTGAAATTCTGGGTCATCCTCAGCTACATAGCAAGTTCAAGACTAGCTTGGGCTACAGGAAACTCCATTTCACAATAATATCACCACAAAAAAAAAAACAACAAACAATGGGAGAAGAGGATTTTCTAATCTATTTCCAAATATAAACAGCAGAGGCCATGTTCGACAGGAAGCATCTATTGCAATGGCGAAATATTAACAGAGTTAGGAGGTCTAAGACTTAAACACACAACTGAGAAACAGCTGAGTCAGGAGGCTACACAAGAACTTCAGTGAGGTGCTAGCTAACACACAGTTGATAGAGAAGGCAAGGTGGTGAAGGAGGGAAGGTAGAATGGAAATCAGGTGGGCACATGCCATTGTTTGGCAGGGTCTAATGATGCTCCAATAACCTGTTACTTAATAGCTTACTGAGTACACAAATACCAAAGCCAAGACTAGTCAATGTTCTTCCCATTGCTTCCTTAGGGTTTTTCTTCTCTACTTTCTTAGCTGTTCTTGTTTGTGTTTGTTTGTTTGTGACAGGTGTCTCTGTGTAGCTCTGGCTGTCCTGCTTCCCAAGTGCTGGTTTTAAGGCATGTCCAGTTAAACAATTACTGATTTCTATCCTAATCTTAAGTTACAGATGGTTATGAGCCACCATGTAAGTACAGAGAATTGAACCCAGGTCCTCTGAGAGAGTAGCCAGTGCTCTTAACCTCTGAGCCATCTCTCCAGACCTGAGTTTCCTTTTCTATAGCATCAGGGAGTTAGCTGCATACCTTTGAGGTAGAAGGACAGGAAGTGATGTACAAGAAAGCTGCCATCTGTCTTGGCATCGCAGAGTAGAGTCAGTTTCCCCTGAAAGTGAAGATAAGGTAAATTAGACCTACTGTGAAGACATAGACCCCAACAGAAAATCAAGTCAATTATGTACATTTCTATACACCAACAGCTATATGTTTATTATGTATACAGTGTTCTGCCTGCATGTATCCCTGCATCTCAGAAGACAGCACCAGATCTCATTACAGATGGTTGTGAGCCACCATGTGCTTGCTGGGAATTGAACTCAGGACCTTTGGAAGAGCAGCCAGTGCTCTTTACCTCTGAGCCAACAGCCATTTGTTAATGGCAAATTAGCCCAAAGGTGAATAAACACCAGAGTGGAGGAGATGGCTCAGTGGTAAATCACTCACTGTGCAATAATGAGGACCTGAGTTTGAATCCCCAGAACTCAGACCCAGTAGTGAACATCTGTAAGCTCAGTGCTTCTGCAGAGAGACAGGAGGCAAAGACCGAGAACTTCTAGGAGTTCTTGGGCCAGCTAGTGTATGCAGTGAACAACCATCCCAAAACAAAGAGGACTGACCACCACACCCACACCAGGACATGTGTGCAACTATATTCACATCCACAAAAGTGGGAACACACATACACACAAAGATTAAAAACTGAGAACATATCAGGGCTGGAGAGATGACTTACAAATTAGGAGAACACATTGCTCTTGCAGGGACTAGATTTGGTTCCTCAGACCAACATCAGGCAGCTCACAACTGCCTATAACTCTAGCTCCAGAACAATCCAACAATGCCTCTAGCCTCTACAGACACCTGTGCTCATATGCACAGAAATACATGAGTATATACAATTAAAAATAATAAATACAGGATGTTTAAAAAAATAAGAAAATCGATTATTAGCTGGGTGGTGACAGTGCACACCTTTAATCCCAGTACTTGGAACCAGAGGCAGGTGGATATCTGAGTTCAAGGCCAGCCAAGTGAATTCCAGGACATCAAAGGATACATAGAGATGTATCAAAAAGGAAAAAAAAAAAAGTCTTTGCAGTGTCTAGCTATCTGCTCCAGCCATTTTCTGTAAGTAACAAAGAACATCTGAATCACCTCAATGCTATGTCAACTTTACAAATGTGCTATAATCTCTCTGGCTTTCAGCCCATCCCACCCCGCGCGCCCCCACCACACACATAAAATGCAAATGTCAGTCTTTGAAGTATATGGACGTGGGAAATGCCCTAGCACCTGGCAAAGTAGCAAGAGCTAACTGGAGGCTTGGACAGACAAGAACTGTTGCACAAATAAAATCCACACGGGTCTATTCAAACTTAAAATTAGCCTGGCACCACAGGGGTCACAAAAAGCTTTCCACACGTGGTATGTTCACTGCAAATTACAGAACACGACTGCCAGCTAAACTCCTGGGGAAAGTAACCTCTACGTGAAAATCTGGAGTGAGGAGGCTCAGGAAAACAGAGTAGACAGGCTATGCTGAATGCTTTGCGCAACCAGATGTTTCTGTTAACAATTCTTAGACACCATCAGAACGGGGAAGTGTGGAAGCAGTGTTCCAGGGGTGGAGGGAGACTCAGAGCAGGTAAGCGGCTCCTCTCGAACCTGCTCTGCAAATGCCTCTGGGCGCCAGGGCGGCACGGAGTACACGCTCCCAAGGGCTGGAAATGGTGTACAAAGACACTAAGCACACGCCAGCCGGTCAGAAGCCCAGCTCACTCAGGCCCAAGCATCCACCCTCACCCAGGCAAGGCCTTTCCAGACTACAACTCCCAGGTGCCCTGGGTTACGGCAGACGCACTATCCCCACCCCGCGACTTCCCGCATGCTCCCGGGACACGCCCCCTTCCCGGCCCCCCCACACACATCTTACCTGCTCCGTCCTCTCTGGGGTGATGCTGAGAAGGTTATTGAGTTCCGGGAACATTGTGAACTGGGATGAGAAATTAGGGTTCTACAGAGAGAATGAAGGCCAAAGAAAAACACCCGCGAGTCCTTGCGCGCGCGTGAGAAACTGCGCATGCGTGATCCCACTCCCGCTTCAGCCAATCAGGCTTGTACCTGTGACACGCAAGCGCGTGAGCATGTGTGCCGGTGCTGCTGAGCCATAGAGAGATCCCTCATTCCAGATGGGTTATGCTGCTGGGGTCACTCGCTCAGCTTAGCGCGAGTGGGGGAGCGAGCAAGATTCCTCCTTTTTGGGGCAGGTTCCCTCCGCAGACCAGGGTCTTGGTCTCTCCTCATGGCTGTAGAAGGTTCCCACGTGTCTTGCGCACAAACTTGGGCTACATCCATGGAACATATAGGGAAGATGCTGGCGGGATCTTTGCAGAAAGCGGAAATCGAAACTTCTGGCACTGAGTCCCATCCATAAAAGTTCTTTGTATAAAAGCAGAAGGCAGTGGGCTAAAAAGGTGCTTCAGGTATTGAAAACTCTTGCTGCTCTTCCGGAGGGCCAGGCTTTGGTTCTCAGCACCCAGCTTTTAACTCCTGCCCCAGGAGACCTGACGCCCTCTTCTGGCCTCTGCGGCACCTGCACACACACACACACCATACAGGAAAATTTTAAGGTCAGCAGGTTTCAGAGGGCTCTGATTTGATTCTCACTACCCACATGGACTATAACTCCAGTCCCAGGGTATCTGATACCTCTAATCGCCTCCAAGGGCATCAGGCATAAAAATGGTAAATGCAGTCAAAACAGTCATACACACAATTTTATTTAAGTGGTTGAGGCCCGCCCTTTGCCTAATTTAAAAAAAAAAAAAAAAAAAAAGACAGGGTTAGAGATATAAGTCAGAGGAAGCGCACTTTCCAAACATGTGGAAAAACCTATGTTACAATCCCATTACAGCAAAAACAACAGAAAACTGGTGCTCACAGCTGTGGCCAGCACTCGACAGGCAGAGACAGGTGGATCTCTGGGTTTGAGGCCATCATGGTCTACAGAGCGAGTTCCAGGACAGCCAGGGCTACTACATAGTGAAACCCTGTCTCAAACACACCAACCGAAAAGAATAAAAGCAATGAAATACAAACATACTTAAACATACATGCCATGCATGTAACAACAATGAAGAGGTAATGAATGTGAAAGAGAGCAAGGAGAGGGAGGAAAGGGAAGGGAAACAATGTAATTATGTTATAATCTCAAAAGAAATAATTAGAAAAGAATAAAAATAATTATAAAAACGTCCTTTCCCACCAGGCAGTGGTGATGCACACCTTTAATTCCAGCACTTGGGAAGAAGAGGCAGGCGGATCTCTGAGTGTGAGGCCAGTCTGGTCTACAGAGTGAGTTCCAGGACAGCCTCCAAAGCAAAAACAGTCTCCAAAAACCAAAACAAAACAAAAGAACCCAAACCCTGCCCTTTCTTACCAGATGGTGGTAGCACACACCTTTGATAACAGCTCTTGAGAGACAGAGGCAGGTGCATATCTGTGAGTTCAAGGCCAGCCTGGTCTACAGAGAGTTTCAGGACAGGCTGGCTCCAAAGCTACAGAGAAACTCTGGCTCAAGAAACAGAGAGGAAGGGAGGGAGACAGAAACAGAGGAAAAACAAAAGACAAACAAAACCCCAAAACTTCCATTCTTTGTAGATACTGTAGAGAAAAGCAAGATAGGTAAGGGGTTTTAAAGTAGTTGTCGGAGTTGGCCTCCCTGAGAAATTGGAGTTAGGATTGGAGAGATGGCTCAGCAGTTAAGGACACTGGCTACTCTTCCAAATGACCCCAGTTTCAATCCCCAGTACTCACACGACAGCTCCCAGCTATCATGCTCATGGCGAAAAGATGTATATGTAAGCAAAGCAACCACACATATAATATTTTTCCCTTGAGACAGTCTACGTAGTATTGCCCTGAAACTTGCTAGGCAAACCAGGCTGGCCTCCAATTCAGGTGTCTGCCTGCCTCTGCCTCCTAGGTGCATGAATTAAAGGCTCTGCCACTATACCTGGGACAACACCTTTTAACAAAGAAAGTGTGTTTGGAGTACACCTTGATGCCCATCCTCAGGGGCTTTGCAATGAAGTTCCTCTTTTGGGGATGATTCTTTTGCCAAATATTCAGTTAAGTCATTCCTTCAGGTCTTTGGTTCAGATATCACTGTATGTCGTCAGAAGCCTTCCCTAAGGGACCTGCTTAAATCATGTCGTTTTGTTCTAGCCTAATGAGCCCCTCAGATCATGAAAGAAAAAGGAATTCATCAAAGTCAGGCTTACCTGTATTACAGTTGGGGAAATAGTGTCCCTAGGGCCTGTTACCAAGGGAAGAGAGAGTTAATCGGATTTGGAAAGTGTGTGTGGAGCTTAAGTGAATTTTTGCCTTTTGTTTATTTTTGTTTGTTTTTCAGTATATTAAGATCAGGTGGAATGTAAACTAAGCATTTTTTTTTATAAACCCAAAGCTAAACACAGCTGTGTGTAAAAGGGTCAGTAAAAGGGTGTTTTTGCAAAAACTACAAGATTAAGATAATGAACAAAATGACTTATCTGAAGCTCTGCTCTTGGGATGGAAATCAAGGCCTACTTCTCTGAGTCAAAATGATTTAGAATTACAGCCCAAAATGTGCTGTACATATTTTTAATTCCGGCACTCAGGAGGCAGAGGCAGGTGGATCTCTGTGAGTGTAAGGCCAGCCGGGTTCATATAGTGAGTTCCAGGGCAGCAAGGGCTACATCGTGAGACTCTGCCTCAAAACAAATGGAAAGGGAAGGGTTGTTTGGGTTTAGTGGCAGTGACAAAGACACCACTGGGTTGTGCCAGCTGACTCTGCTGGCAGAAGGGCTTGGCCTGCAAGCCTATGAGCAGAGCTTGGTCCCCTGAACTCACAGTGGAAGAAGATGGTCTCATTTCTCAGAGCTGTCGAATGAGCTCCACAAGTATACCACGGCACATGTGAAGCTACACTCACATTTCTACAAACAATGACAACTGAAAATTAAAATTTTATGTCAGGCAGTGGTGGCACTTGACTTTAATCCCAGCACTCAGGAGGCAGAGGCCGGGGGAATCTCTGTGAGTTCGAGGTCAGCCTGGTTCACAAAGTGATTTCCAGGGTAGCCAGGGCTTTTACAGAGAAAAACCATGTCAAAACAAAACAAAAAAATTATTTTATGTGTATGGATCTTTTGCCTACACGTATGCCTAGTACCTGCAAAGTCCAAATTGAAACCTCCCCCAGTAACTATGCTTTCAGCTGCTGGATCACGTCTCCAGATGCTAAGATTTTTAAAAAGAAAAACAGCAATTACTGATTGTAGGCAGACTTTTCTGTCCCACCTGCCAGCTCCCAAATAACCATATGGAGACTTACTAATAATTATAAATGTTCAGCTGAAAGCAATGGCTTGTTACCAACTAGCTCTTACAACTTAAATTAACCCATATTTTTAGACTATGTACTACCACATTCTCAGAACTTTTTATCAGCAAGGCAAGTTCAGCTTGCTTCTCTCCTTGTCTCCTGACCATGCCTCTCTCTTCTTCCCAGTGTTCTTTTAGTTTGCATTCTCTCTGTCTGGCTCTCCCGCCTACCTTCTTCCTGTTTGGCTGTTAGCCAATTATCTCTATTAAATCAATGAGAGTGACACAACTTCACAGTGTACAAAAGGATTATTCCACAACAGCTGACCTCAGGAGTTGGCCTGGTACTCACAGCTAGGTCTCTGATCTGTTCAGCACACACAATGTCACAAGCCATCAGATTAATCTACCGGGTTTTGTTTTTTTCTATTGTTTTAAAAGGTCCTATTTTTATATTCTTAATCATGCATATGTGTTTGGGTATGTGCACACGAGTGTCAGAGCCCACAGAGACAAGAAGAGTGGGAACCAAGGGAGAGTCACAGGTCACAGGCCATCCCTCCGTCTTGCTTGGGTCATGTTTTATTTCTTGGCTTTTGGAGGCAGGACCTTGCTCTGTAGCCCTGGCCAGACTGGAACTCATTATATAGACCAGGAACTCACAGAGACCCACCTCCCTCTGCCTCTTGAGTGCTGGGATTACCATATACTACCATAGCATAAATAGGGTTTTGGGATTTTTTTTGTTTTTGTTTTTGTTTTGTTTTGTTTTGGTTTGGTTTGGTTTCTAGGACAGGGTTTCTCTGTATAACAGCTCTGGATGACCTGGAAATCAATCAGTAGACCAGGCTGGCTCCAAACTCACAGAGATCCGCCTGCCTCTGCCTCCCGAGTGCTGGGATTAAGGGTGTGTGCACCACCACCTGGCTTCATTAATAATATTCTTCGGTTTCCTTTTTTTTTTTTTTTTACATTGCTAGCAATATGTAGAAATGCATTTGACACAGAATCTCACCATGTAAGCCAGGCCTCTTCCTCCCTAGTGTAGGGATTAAATGAATTTGAGTCTAGGCCTAGTACAATTGTCATTATTATTATCAAGGGAATAAGTGAACCACTGTGTACATGTGGAGGTCATAGAACAGCTTGGTGGAGTCTGTTCTCTCCTACCTTCCTGCGGGTTTGAGGCATTAAACTCAGGTCACCAGGCTTTCAAAGCAAATACCTCTGCCCACTGAGCCATCTCTCCAGCTCTGTTTTGCATTTTGGATGTGTGCTGCCAGGGAATGTTTCACATGTGCTAGGCAAGCACATTCCCAGTTACAATCTATTTTTGTGTACTGATTTACCTTCATCCTTGCTAAACTCTTTAATTCCCATATCTTTTAAAAGTTCCCACTGGATTTTCTGAGCAAATGACCATGATGTCAGTGAGTAGGATAGTTTTATCTCTTCCTTTCTCGCTTAGGTACTACATGCTCTTGCTTAAGTACATGGCAGGAAATGGTGAAAATACGCACATCTTTGTCTTGTTCTCATTTTGAGGGAAAGAAGTTGGCTTTTCACCACGAAAAAGGGTGTTAGTTTTTTGGTTTATTTGTTTTGGTTTTTCAAGACAGGGTTTCTCTGTAGGTTTGGAGACTGTCCTGGAACTAGCTCTTGTAGACTGAGCTGGTCTCGAACTCCCGAGTGC